GGCTCCGCCGCCGGAGGAGGAGGGGCGAGGGTATCGAGGCCGTCGCAGCCACGGCACCCCGAGGCGGTGCCCGAGTGCCTTGTCGGAGTCTTGCTGCCGCCGGTCAGGCTGAGCTGTCTGCCGTGCGCCTTCGTCCCTGGTGTCGCCGGTGTCGCCGCTGTTGGTGGTGTTGGGTGCTCGGCGGTGGGTGCGAACGGGCTCTTCGGCGCGGGAGAGGGGGTTCCCAGGGTCGGGATCGACGAGGCCGGGCGCGTTCAGGTGGAGGGGGGGGGGCTCCGTGAGGTGGAGGGAGCGTGGGCGGTGAGTGTGCTGGGTGCACGTCGTGGCGTGGTGCGGGGTGTGGGGTGGTTTTGACTCGGACAGCCGCGTGGTGAGAGATCGGCAAGACGAAACAACCGAAAGGAACCAGGTAGACCCCCTAAGAGCGAACCACCTTACCGTTAGAGTACTGCGGGCGAAGGCACACAGGTTTGAGATCGACATGAAAAAATGAACTCGAACGCTCCACAGCCAAAAAGGCTGTCAAAGCCGACAAGGGTGATTTCAGAACGACATAATCGAGACCTAGCTTTGAAATCGAAACCGTGTCCCGGCAAAAAAAGGCAGCAAGCGCTTTTGAAAACATGGCGAGGGTAAACGTCGAGTGATAATAGATGATACCCTAAAAGTATCGGTGCGTTGGGTGGTTGTGGATGTGTTTCTTGAACTGCTACCGGCTGCGCTTGACCTGCTGACCAGTTTGAGTTCGTCAGCATTAGCCGTGTAGCGGGTTACAACCAAGGCCCCCTAAGGAGGACCGAAGTTGGAAGAAACGCGCGACGCCCGAAACGCCAAAGTATACCTGCACAAACCGCACTTTTTTTGCGTGAGACACACGCCACAAGCAACAGCCGCTGTTTTTGTGTGTGTGCTTCCTTTCCAAACCCTTTTCTTCTCGAGACACATGTGCGCTATCGATCTTATTTTTCCAGCAACACTAGCGTCTGTTGATGGTCATAATACGTGTGTTACCGTTATTGTTTTTTCAGGCGCAGACGACGGTGGACTCGTTCCTGCCGGTGTCCCTGGTGGTACACAACTCGTCCCGCTGGCCCATTGACGTCATCGTCGAGGTTACCTCCACCTCCGAGGGCAGGGAGGAAGAGGGCTCCGTGTACTGGGGCAACGCAGACGAGGACGACTCCGGACACGTCATGTGGTCGGGGATGCCGAGGTATGTGGTACACGCGAGCTGAGTTTGAGCTGCGAAAGCTCGCACCAGAAATCGGATCTGCGGCGGGCTAGCCCTCTAGTGGCCGGCATCGCCGCAGCTCTCAAGCGCCGAGAACCGCATATATTGCGCGTTGGGTACTCGGTTCTTTATGTCCGCGTCACTGAACTCCTTTACGCTTAATGTTTGCAGTTTGCGGACGTAAGATGTGGTGTGTTTTTGCTCGCTTGCCGTACGAAGGGCGCCTGGAGCCGTTTCCCCTCCTCAGCTTTGCGACACTCCGTTTGTTCGTCACCGCCAATGCCGCACTAGATAGTGGTTTCCTGTTAAAGGACCGCCTAGTGCCAAGGGAGTTGGTCGGCTCTACGACCGGGCAGGCGGGACGGTTTTGAGTACTTCTGTGAGACAAGCTGAAAGTTCCATCCATCCATGTCGCGCGCGATTTCACATGCCCCTGTTTAGGGCGACGGGGCCTTGTTCGTGCGGCCTTGTGCAGGGACCAGAGCCACTACTGCACACCGAAACCCTTCCTCTTTACATGTAGAAGAAGCCCGGGGAAGCCTTGCCATCGCCCCAATCAGTGAACGGTCGATGCACCTTTCACCCCCTCCCGCCCCCCCCGGTGTTTGCCATCGGGGTTGGGTTTTCGTCGCTTGGCAACGACGTTGTATAACAAGCCAATTCACTTCGTGAACTCGGCAACCAGGTTACCGTTTTTTTTTTCTACCTCTGTTTTTTTTTGGCNCCCCCCCCCCCCCCCCCTCCCCCGGAACACCACAATATGCCGAACACCCTTGGCAAGATTCAGCGCCCCCCCCCCCCATGCGACTCGCCGAATACCTCACGGCGCTTCGCGCTTTGGTTATGTGTTCTACAGCAGCCTGGTCCAGTGAAACTCCATCCCGGCTTTTGTAGGGGTGCGAGGTCAATGGTCCAACGACTACGGCATGCACGGTTATGAGTACACCCAACCGACCGTAAGGAATGATGACCATCTTCTGGTTCATGCTTGTGAAACGTAGCCTGGGCCGGCGAAAACCCGGCATATCGCTCCGTTCCGCAATGTAAGGATGCGAGGTCGATGGTCTAACGACTACGGCATGCACGACTAAGAGTACCCCCCCCCCGTTTCTTGTTCCATTTCCTTTTCGACCGCTCGCAGGAGGCGCCTGGGCAAGCTCGCCCCTGGGCGTTCCGCTTGCCACGGTCTGCTGGCGTGTTTCTTGACCCCGGGGGACGTCTCAATCGGCTTCACGTGCCGCGTCAAGGTGGAAAGCGCCTCGGCTCCTTACGGGTCTGCAACGTCTACTGCTGCCGCTGCCGCTGCTACTGCTGCTGCTGCTGCAGCGGCTGGTTCTTCGGAGACCTTCGATCCGGGTTCGTGGATCTGTCTTGGTTAGGGGTCGAGTCTGTCTGTCGCAACTGCTGTTCCGGATTGTTTTCCCCTGCCCTGTAGATTGGTCGACGGTCTAACAGCTAAGGCGTGCAAAACATGACTACGCCCCCCC